GGGCATAAATTGCAAGATACAGATATATGAGCCCTAGGGGTAACGATAGGGGCCCTCCACAGGTTCTTACAAGTGGAAACCATGGGGTGGTGATTTACACAAAGGGCGGAGTGCTGGAGGACCCGGCATCACTTGGCGGCGGTGCCTTGGTGCACAACTGGCAGCCCGTGGCTAACCTGGTCAGGAGTGCGAGCTTGGCCTTGAATATTTGGCATAAGCCAAGGAGTGCCTTGACGGCAACAATCTCGTTCGTGGTCATTGGCTCCTTGAAGAGATCAAGTACATGTTAGAGCGGGGCCTTGTCCAAGGTAGTGTCGACATCATCGTCAACAATCCCCATTTTCTTACGAAGGACCCCTTTGTCCCTTTCAATGGTGCCTAGCATGAATGTAGATTTGCTGGCAAGGCGATGACTGGTACGGTGAGGTGGTGCTGTGGGATGGTGATGACTGGCACCTCGCAAGGAAGCAGTGGCTGGATCTTGGAGGTGATTGCCACATCAAAAGCCATGGGGTCAGTGAGAACAATGGAAGCAGAGACAACTAGTATTGCATCGATGTCGACAAGAACCAAGATGGTCCCAAAGAGATCGGCGCCCAAGTCCTGAATGGGTCATTCGAGACGGGGCCCAAGAGGATAGAATCACCCTCCATGCTGGTAGTGGGGGATCTTTTCGGGCCCGCATTAGTTTGAGTCATGTGATTTAGCATGAAAACATCAGTGACCACTAGCTGAACAACCAGATCCTGCACCCCATCTCCTTAAACATGGTCAACATGGACTAGTGACGTACTGCTGACAGAGGCAATATGGGATCAAAGGCTTTGAAAGACACTTGGTCGGTATCCGGACTCAGGGGAGGTAGAGCATGTGTCTGAACTAGCGCAGTGGCAACTACAATCTGAATGACCAATACTGGCAGTACTAGTGGCATGGTGACATTGGTGTGGATCGTCATGGCACCGTTACCCTCGGTTGGCGTGGTGACAAGGTCTCCATTGCATGGAGAGGCAAGGTCACCATTAGGGATTTGCTAGTCGAAGGAGGCGAGTCATCCACGTCTTGGTGGCGATGGTTGTCGGAGGAGAAGCCACTGCATGCCCTGAGCGAGATAGAGGAAGTGTTGTAGCCGTGAATGGCATGATCATGGGATTTTCTAGTCCCGCCTTGGCTCCTAGGATCGCCTGACAAGAGTTCATGGCCACTAGGGCTGGGCCTTTTGTGCGCATGTCGGCTATCCACTGGTCGCCACCCATACTCGAAGGCAAATGACCACCCAAAAGAAAGCTTCCAAGAGTAGTTGTCATCGGGGCCATTTGATGGGATGTCGTTTTGGTTGGAGTCACTGCTTCCTCTAGAGAAGTCGTCGTGGCGCGTCCAGTAGTCCCATAGCTTGCATAGGTGTATAAGGATCAAATAGGACAGAAGGTTGGTCGGTCCCTCAACCACTAGCAGGGAATCATGGATGCCGAGGTCTAGGAAGTCCATGGGAGGCAACGTGGTGCGAGGGCGCTCCTCTAGAGCGAGAGAGCCGTTGCGGGCATTCATCTCCGGGCCAGCCAACCAAACCCAAAGGCCACCGTATCTAGTTGACGATCGTGCTTGGGCACCCCTTTGAGGTAGATGCGGGCACGAAAAGGCAATGACATGAGCTCGACCCTGACAAGGCAAGAGTACGGATGAAAGGTGAGGGAGGCATAGTTGCCCTACAACGCGTGGGGCATGTAAATGTTGTTGTTGTGGACGACCGGGTCATTGAACATTACGAAGAAGTCTCTCCATGCAAGAGCATGGTGATGAAGAAGGTTCCCAGAGTGAGGTCAAAACTTTTTACCACTTCCGCAACCACCTGACTCACACGGAGGTGGCCGGTTGCCAATGGTGATTAGCATGATGTCATATTCCTTGTGGTACCGCTCAGCTGACATCATGCCCAAGGTGAAGGCCGTGATCCCAGTGAAAAAATCCGGGTGGTTGCATGCGTTGTCGGGGACTAGATCCAACTCCATGTAGGTGAAAGGTGAAGGTACTGGTCCAAGAATGGATGGCATGGTTGAAACGATGGTGTGGGAGGGATGGGGTGGTCATATGTTGGCTTAGTGGAAGGGTGAGGTAGGAGGCGACCGGTTGCCAGAGTGGGACTAGGTGGTCCGGAGAGGCGTGTGGAGGCGGGCATGCATGTGGAGTTGGGATGATCCAAGGGAAAGACCAGGCGATGGACATGTTGGTATGTTGGAGCACCGTTGATCTTTGTGGTCGGGCTGCCCATAGAGGAGTTTGGTGGGAGTCCTTGATGCAGTGGAGCGAGGTTAGGCAGTTGAAGCATCTTCATGCAATGCCAACTAGGCAAACTGGTGAGTTGACGCACTATTAAATGAGGAAAGATAGGAAGGCGGTAACATATTATGTTACCATCACATAGTGCTTTCCAAGGCACAATGAGTATACACACTAATAAATGCAACCATCTATGATACTACCTCTAAGTTATTTTGCACTATGAAGATGGTAATATAGACAGGTGTCATATGCATGACACTACTCTAAGTTACTCTCCGCTATGACTAGCCTAAGAGGGCGATGAATGACATGGGGAGGGGGCATGGATCTGGGCGATTCATGAATGCTCTGACGACCCTGTTGATTGCGGCTATTCATGGTACGCTACTCGTCCAGAAGGCATGTGCTTTACTCCCTTTGCCATGGAGCTTTTTTCCTTTGGGTAGACTAGTTACTGGAGGGTCCTGGGTCGTTGCCTGCATGCGGGTCACCCCCTTAAATCATTCTCAAAGAGGAGGCCAGGGTGGGACGAGCAAGACCAACATGAAGGAGTAAATGGCCTTTCCTCCGTCGGTTGTTGCGGCGGGCGGCGTAGATAGCAAGGCATCCTTGAGGGTTGCCCTGGTGGCGGTGACATGGATGGTGAGGAGAGCGGGCTGCAGGATAGATCAAGCCCATGTGGATGAGGTCTCGACAAGTGGGCGGCGGCAGCCGGAGTAGTCCATTGTCGATGAGGCTGGATGGTTGGGGCTCGATGGAGGTGGGTGAGCGGGGTTGTCCACCAAAAGTCATTTTTTGGCAACCCGATGAGTAATTTCTACCTTCAGAAGTGACGAACATTATATAGAGTGCAGGGCAGCCATGAGGTGTATTAGTGCGCTAGGCGAATACAAAAATGTGTTATACAAGTCATTAAAATTCTGAAATTAATTTATGGCATAGAGATAACTATGTCATAAAATCTTAGATTTAAATTCTGTTCACAACCAAACCATGAATATATTGTAGCAAATTCAAATCTGGGCGGCTCGTTATCTAGGTGGACGAGTTGTCCTTTTTTTTTCTTATTAAGCTGCGTGCCGTTGCTATTCGCAAACAAATTGTCTTTTTTTCTTAGATTGTGTTTTCAATTCGGACCTGAAAATTTGTGACGTCATACATATATGATGAATGACGAAAAAGCAAATATTTTCAAAATAATATAAAATGTTGAAATAGAGATGTAGGTAGACCCGGCCATGGGCAGCCCGGGCCGGTCGACCTGACACGACCCGACCCAAAAAAGCCTGACCCGACCCGGTCCGACCTTGTCCATGGGACGGGCTAGGGCCTAGATTTCAAGCCCGATGGCCGGGCCAGGCCCGTTAATGAAGAGACCCGGTCTGAGGCCTCACGGGCTTTTAGCTTGATGGGTCGGGCTCGGGCCTGACGACCGGGACAGGCTGGGCTCGGTCCTGGGTTTTTTTGCATCGGGCTTTGGTAGGCCCGGCCCGAAGCCCAACCCGACAAATGGCCAGGTATAGATGTAGGACATGTTTGATTTTACCCTAGCCTTGCCCTACCAAAGATTGGTCTGCCAAATTTTTGGTGAAGCTTATGCATGCCCGTGAATTAGGTAACATTGACTAGATAAGTTAACTAGAATGAATAAAGAAGCATTGGCATGCCAAAATATTAGAAGCCATCCAAACATAGACCAAGATTTTAGGAGTAAATAGCGTAAAACTACTATAATTTGGGTTAGGGTTTCAGAAAACCACTAGATTTTTTCCCACCGAGAACTATCAAGTTTGGGGTCGGCTGTTTTGAAAAACTCAACTCGCCGAGTTCTTATCGATTGATCACGATTATGGCAGTTGGGGCCCACACGTAAGTTAACCGTTTGTTTGACCGTTAACTTACATGTGGGTCCCACATGTAAGCTTTCTCTTCCTCTCTCTTTCTTCTTCCTCTCTTCCTGATCTCTCTGTCTCTTCTCTCCTCTCCTCCCGTGATCTCTCTAGAGCTAGCGGCCCTCTCCCCTCCCGAGCTTACATGTGGAAGAAGAAAGAGAGGAGGAAGAGGAAGCTTACATGTGGGGCCCACATGTAAGTTAACGGTCAAACAAACGGTTACCTTAGGTGTGGGCTCCAACTGTCATAATCGTTGGCTGTGTGCATTCTTGATGTTTTTGGACATTTTGTTGTTGCAGAGGCTGAGTGTAATTGATATCTTAGCGATATTAATATATTTCTTTTTATCAAAAACTGTCATAATTGTGATCAATTGATAAGCACTCAGCAAAAAAAAAATTGGAACGACCGACGCCGAACTTGAAAAAATTCCAGTAGTTTTCTGGAATCGTAACCCAAATTGTAGTAAATTTATACTATTTACTCAGATTTTGGCCATGACCAAAAATTGGTAGTGTGGGTGTTGACCACGGGCCAAACAGAGCTTTGCATTAGTATACACGTGAAGGTGCTCCGGTATGCCCCCAGAAATCCCCGAGCTATTGTGTACGGGAAGTTAAGCAAAAGATTTAAATATCATGAAGATACACGTGCTACAGCGAAGTTCTTCGGTTTTAGGTTGAACTGCTAATCACCAATATTTTTGTGCAGGAGCGGACAACTGAAGAATAAAGACCAAACTGGGCCTGACCGTTGACCTAGCTAGAAGGAGACTCGTGCTATCTTACTCTAAGTGGCCGATCGACTTAGCTTGAATGTTGTTTGTACCTTGGGTTTGCTCATTGCACTCCGAGATGAAGCTCGGATCGGAGGTGAGGTCGAACGTCTGGTCGAAATCATTGTTCCTACGAATAAAAATTCCTCGTTTCTCTCAGCTCACGACCAACGGACCAATATGCACACCAAGCAGCGAAATAAACAGCAAGGGGAGGTAAACTTGGGCCGGTTCCGCAGCGCAGGGCGAGAAGACGTACACGCTGGACATGCAGAAGCCGTACTTGCTCTGCACCTCGTCGGCGAGCTCGCGGCTGACGGTGTTCATCCTGGCCATGAGCGCCGCCGTGGCGGCGGACGAGGCCGACGGCGGCAGAGCGCGGTCGCGCACGACGGGGCCGGGGTTGTCATCGCCCTGCTGGCATCGCCCGCCCGCTGGGAGCAGCGCGAGGACTAGGGGGAGGAGCAGCACGGCGGCGAGGGGCGCTGGCAGCATGGTGTCGAGCTGAGCAGGTAGGTAGGGGGAAAGAAGGAGCTTGACACGGTGGAATCTGTGTATTGTGTAGCCGCCGGGAGGGTATTACGTGGAAGACCGGGCTTTCGCTGGGCGACATGGTCCGAGTCTCGACAAGAACGCGCGCGCGTGTCTGGTGGGAAGTTCCTGTCATTGATTACACGTCGCGGTTGACCCGGCCAGGGCAAAGATAATAAAGAGTGGGTCAGCCACTCTTGTTCTATCTCATTTGTTCATAATGGAACCTGGGAGCGGATTCTGTTCCACGAGAAAAAGGTCGAAGGAATTTAAGTACTACTCACATTAATAAAATGTTCGTGCGTTTCTACGGGCTATAATGCATATAAATGAGTTATTTTCCCTCTCATATATATTAGGCATCGAATTAGCGTTCAACGTGTTTCCCAAAATTCAAACAAATGGGCAGTCGGGGCTCATTCAAATTCAACCCACATGTGAGGGAAAAATGTGCTTGTCCAGACTATCTGACATGTTATCTTCAACACATGGCCTCAACAAAAAAACCGACCCACAAGAAGCCTTCTTCTTTAAAACCGGATGACATCCACCTCATCATCATCATGACGCCCTCTCTCCTTCACACCGTACTTCCCCACAAACCATCAAGGATGAGCCCCCCTCCCCCCGCTAATCACCCCAATCTCTACCCTACTCCCTTTTCTTTGTGTTTGTGCCGATCCGTCACCACCATTAAAGAGGTCGATTGGTCAAGCATGGGACGCAAATGGTGTGGCGGTAGCGTAACCATTAGAGGAATGGTGAGGGGAGTTTAGTACATAACATAGATAGGAGAGGACAGGAGCAGCATGTACTGGTGAATCAAACAGGAATAAAAATATTTCAATAAAACCAATGCGTGCAAGGTTGGAAGGTGGAGTTGAAATGAACGAAAAAGTATCACCCAAATGCAACTTGCTGTCGGATCACGGGTTCCGGCAAAACCCTTAAGGTTCGAACACTAGGGTGCGCGCGAAGATCTTCCCCTCCCCCTATCGATCCGCGTCCTAACTTAGCCTAGATCTCACGAACTAACTCGACGAACTCGCAACACAAAGGACACAAGATTTATACTGTTCGGGCCATCGCTGTGGTGTAATACCCTACTTCAGTGTGATGGTGGTGGATTACCTCTTGGGCTGAGGGCGAACAATACAAGGGGAAGAAGAGCCTCCTGAGGTTGAGGTGTTCTTGTGCTTGGTGCACTTGTGTGGTTGGGGATGATCTTGATGATTCGTCCTTGCCTATGGTGGTGGCTAGTCCTATTTATAGAGGCCCTGGTCCTCTCCCCAAATATTAAGCGGGAAGGGAGCCAACAACGACCAATTTGAAAGGGGACAACTAGTACAAGCTATCCTGACAAAAGGTGGTCTTCGCCTGCCAAAGGTTCTGGCGGTGACGCCGTCCTGGGCTCCATGGTGACCTCCGTCTTGCCGTCTTTCTGGTCTCGGTCTCGTTGCACCAATATGGAAACCTTTGCTTGATGCCTCGGTACTCCGCGCCCGCGCTTGCCCCCTTAGCACCAAAGAGGAAACAAGGACGCTGCGCGCGCTGGCGCCCACCTGGCGCCCGCCTGGTCTCGATCGCCATGGCTCACGTCACAAGAACCTCGCGAGGTTTGCCCGATCTTGAACTCTCCGTCCCTCACGAGCCGGCATGGCGAGGCCGCTCCTGAGGAGGTCTTGTGTTGTCCGCCTCGCGAGGCTTGGCCCCTTGTAACACCCCAGATGTAACTTTTCCTATTTGTACTCCAACTCTTGCCGTTTCCGGTGTTAAGTTATATTTATTTCCTCGGGTTCAGGTTTTTGTCTCCGTGTGTTGTTGTCGTTGTCATGCATCTCATATCATGTCATCATGTGCATTGCATTTGCATACGTGTTCGTCTCATGCATTCGAACATTTTCCCCGTTGTCCGTTTTGCATTCCGGCGCTTCGTTCTCCTTCGGTGGTCATTTCTAGCCTTCTTTCGTGTGTGGGGATTAAACATTTCCGGATTGGACCGAGACTTGCCAAGCGGCCTTGGTTTACTACTAGTAGACCGCCTGTCAAGTTTCGAATCATTTGGACTTCGTTTGATACTCCAACGGTTAACCGAGGGACCGAAAAGGCCTCGTGTGTGTTGCAGCCCAACACCCCTCCAATTTGGCCCAAAACCCACCTAACTCTGTTCCATCATCTAGATCGTTCGATCACGATCGCGTGGCCGAAAACCGCACCTCATTTGGACTCTCCTAACTCCCCCTATGCCTATTTATAGACCCCCCCTCGAAAAATCCCGGATCCCCTCCTCCTCAAACCCTAAAACCCACCTCGCGCCGCGCCGGATGTGTCCGTTCCGGCCGGACACGCCGCCGCCGCCGCCCGCAGCCAGTGGCAGCACGCCACGTGGCCTCCAACCCGCCGCCGCCGCTCCGGCCTGGGAGGCCCAGGGAGGGCCCCCGCGGCCCAGTCACTGCGCCCCGCCGCCCAGCCTTCGTCCGCCGCCGCCCGACGTCTTCCCCGACCCCGGCCGCCGCCTCCTTCTCCTACCTCGCCGCCTCCGCCGCCCACCCAGACGCCGACGAGCTCCGCCGCGGCTCGCCCCTCGCCCGTGCGCCGCCCGAGCCGGCCTCCTCGTCCACGAGCGCCGCGCCGCTCCGCCGCCTCCTCGTCGCCGGTGAGCGCCCCGGCCACGGCCTCCCTCCGGCGAGCGCCCTTCTTCCTCCGGCCACCAAGGCGCCATTTCCGGCAAGGAGCTACAGTGCAGATCCGTCCGTCCTCGTAATCCGTGCAAACCCTAGATCTCGGGGTGATATTTTCTACTAAGTCCCGAAATTCTCAGTCCATATGCACATGTTCGTAACTCCGTAACTTTGCATGCATAGCTCCGATTCATGCATATAGCATATCAAAATGTTCATCTCAGAGAGTACATCATTTCATTCCATTGCGTCATTTTTATTTGAGCTCATCTTGATGCCTGAAATGCTATTAGAAGAGGGTTACTTGAGTTAATTGTCAGATCTGCTACTCCGTTTAGCACTTTTGTCATTTTTGCCATGATTATTGTGTGCAAGATATGCCCGTGAGTTCTACATGTGTTTTGTTAAGGGTTTTGTCATCTTTTCAGAGGTGCAACCCATGTATTTTTAGGATGTGTGTGGTGATTTGTGCAAGCTTGCAAAATGGTGTCCTGGAGCTGTTTATCTCATGATGCCATATGTTCTTATTGTTTCCTAGTGATCCGTGCCTCTTTTGAGGATGATCAATAAGGATGTTTTGTTAATATTGTAGTGCTCTATCCATCCATGTCTTTGTTTGCAATTATAGAGCACCCTAGCTTGAGTCAATCGAGCTCTATTTTGGCTACTTTGTGAATCTGGGCAGATTGTCAACTTGTTTGCAATTTTGCCGGTGATGTTGTAGTTGATCCGTGCATGCTATGCTATTGTTATTGCCATGTCTAGCTTGCATTTTGTGCCTTATTGATGGATGTATGCTTGTCTTGCCATGACTTGCTCTGTAGTGAGTGCATCGAGCTCGTAAACATGCCTACTTGAGTTATATTTCAGCATGTGCCAGTTTTTCACTAAGTCTGAAAACTGATTATGTTTTTGCTATGTTCACATGCTTGCAATTGTATTTTCTGGTCCTTTTTGGCTCAAGGTCACTAAGGGACTTTTGTTAAGCTCTTTGAGTAGCTCCATGCCATGCTTTACTTTGACATGTGCAGATCCTGTAGCATGTAGTTTTGTGGCTCCGAAGAGGGCTACCTGGTCTGAAATTCCAGACAAGTGTTAATTTCACTAAGTCTGAGAATTGTTTGTCATATGCATTTTTGCCATGCTTGTTTGAACCTGTTAATGGATGATTTGGCCGTAGCTCGGTGCTAGACTTTTGTTAAGCATCTTGTGTGCATCCCTGCCATGTATTTTGTTGACATGTTTGGGTGCTGTTGCATGTTCATCTCATTGCATTTAGAGGCCTACTTGCTGTAAATCGTAGACCGGTGTCATATTTGAATCGCTTGCCATTTCCAAACCGTAACTCCGATTCCGACGTTCTTTATATCATTTTCAAGCGATTTCATCTCATCTTTCCAGTGGCACACTTGGCTTTCCAAGTTGAGGCCAGGTTCATGCATTTCCTGTCATATCTTGCATTTTGCATCCCGCATTGCATCCCACATAGCATATCATCATCGCATCGTCTTGTTTGGGTTCTTGCACGTGGTTGATTGTATCCTTGTTGCTTGTTTGTCTTGTTTGGGTAGAGCCGGGAGACGAGTTAGCTAACGAGGAGCCCGTTGAGTTTGCTTTCGAGGATCCAGTCAACTCTGACAACTGTGCCTACAAGATGATCCTACCCTCGAAATCACTACTATCTTTGCTATGCTAGTTTGCTCGCTCTTTTGCTATGCCATTGCTACGATGCCTACCACTTGCTTTCAAGCCTCCCAAATTGCCATGTCAAACCTCTAATCCTCCTTGTCCTAGCAAACCGTTGATTGGCTATGTTACCGCTTTGCTCAGCCCCTCTTATAGCGTTGCTAGTTGCAGGTGAAGATCGGAGGCCATTCCTGTTGGAACATTTATTTACTTGTTGGGATATCATTATATTGCTATGTTATCTTAATGCATCTATATACTTGGTAAAGGGTGGAAGGCTCGGTGTCACACCCTAGCTAGTCATGCATTAGAGTGTTGCATCATGTTTACTCTTTCATCAGAAACTTGAAATGGGGATGACAGAACCCCCAGTCCCCTCTGAAACCAACTAGGGTTACTAAAATAATTTTCAATGAACCTGAAATGCCCTTCTAAAATGCCCATCATTTTTGCCTTGGTTCAGAACCTCTGCCAAAAGTGGTGCACATTTTCCTAGGCCATCCTAGGGTTTTTGAATTAAATCATAAATATTTGAATTTGGGCATTTAAAATAATATAAAATATTTAAATGCTCAAATATCTCCAAACTAAAATGTT